CGGGTCTTTTCTGCCCGTGCGTGCCCGCGAGGGGGCGCGCGCGAGCAGAAAAAAATTGCCGTCTGGAGACGGCAACCCGCAGATGCAGCAGTGCCGTCCGTCCGTTTTTCTACTACGGGCGGACGGCAAGAGGTTAAGTAGGGATGCACCTCTTTGTGGGTGGGTGGGGGGGGGGGGGGTGGGGGGGGGGGTTAGTATTTTATATGGTGTATGTATTTTTTTTTTATATGTGCAGTGGTAGTATTTTTTAAATATGTGCAGGGGTAGTATTTTTTTTTATAGGAGTTTACATGCAACTGCTGTCACCTGATCATTAACTTCAATGGGTGACAGCAGCCGCTTGTACACGCCAGATTAGGGATTCCTGCTGCAGTAAAATGCAAGTTCCTGAAGCAGGAATCCCTGATTGCACCTAAATGTACAGATATGAATAGGGCCTTATTGTATGTGTATTGGGGTCTGTAGTACCATAACAGATATAATTACATTTTATTTTGATGTACGAAATTTAGCAAGCTGGCCCCCATGGGAGAAAAAATGTCGAGTGGCCCCCGAGTCAAATGAGTTTGAGACCCCTGCCCTAAATAATCATATTTTACCCTGAGTCACCATATGGCTCTAATAGAACCTTTTCATTATTACACTTTTTTGTATTAACGTTTAGAATAATACATAGTATAATGCACGTTAATGTAGGGTAAGGCATGGTATGTGTGTGTTACCAATTATTTTGAATGGCTCGGCCTATTGTGGCGAGATGTGTTGCCAACCATAGTGTAAGAGGAAGAGTCTGCAGGAGTCAGAGCATTGCACTCACAATCTACTGATCCACTAGTCCAGTAGGTTTCCCAGCGCACTCCGTACTGGTATTCCCCTGAAGAATGGGTGCTGAAATGACTGCGGATGGCGCCACTCAAACTGAATGAAGAATCAAGATGTCAGCAGCATTCCAGATGAATGACGCATAGACAAATTGTCACAAGGACGGCAATGTTTCGGGGAGGCGCAAGGTCCCTTATTCAGGCTATATCCTAATAAACCTGATGAAGGGGCCCTGCGCAGCCCTGAGACGTTGCCGTCCTTGTGACAATATGTCTACTGATCCACTAATCGCTGTTGCAATCCTTTACTCGCTCCAATGCAAAAAAATTGCACAATGCACATTTTGTTTTCAGTATAGGTGGAAATTTCCTTTAAGTAATGTACACATTTCACAGAAGGATGAACAGAGGGACACATTTCTATGGTTTTAGCCTTTTAATAAAACAAGAAGAAACTCGCTACCAGATTGGAGTTATGGGTCAGCAATTTCCCAGTGAATTAAAAGTGGAGGGTCGGATGCATCCTTCTCTGTCCCCAAAAAGCTTGACGTCCCTCTAAGCCCTGGACTTCCTCTGCAAATTTTAGAACCTTGAAGCCACCCCCTCTAAACGTTTTTTCCGCGGGCCTACGTGATCTACTTTTCCTTCTTACATTTCCAAGCTCCTCCTGTGAGCTATTGTCTTTCCTTTTTTTTAACAAAGTCTACAGACTGTACTAGGGATGTCCCGATACCGATACAAGCATCGGTATCGGGACAGATACAGGGCATTTTGCCAAGTACTTGTCAAAATGCCCTGATACATAGCGCCGAAGCTTGCGTTGTTTTTTTTTTTCCCCCTTTACTGACCTTGCGTCACTGCTGCTCCGGTGGGCCGCGCTCCAGGTAGGGTCCTAATTTAGGTGGCCGGCGACTGCCCAGGGGACCCCACTCGGAGAGCCGCCCACCGGAGCAGCAGTGACGCAAAACTCCTCTTCAGCTCAGCGCCGGCGATGTCCTTCAGTGCTGGAGAGCAGCGGCGAGTCAGCGCTGGTCCGGTGGGAGGAGCTCCAGTAGGGTCCTAATTTAGCTGGCCAGCTAAATTAGGACCGTACCTTGAGCTTCTCCCACCGGACCAGCTTTGACTCGTTGCTGCTCTCCCGCACAGCGCCTCAGTGAGTGAGGGCAAGGGGGGGTCCCTATTAAGCAGGTAAATCTTAAAAATCTATTCTTGTAAATCTATTGTCTGCAGTGTATACTACATATAGAGTACACACTGCTAATACACTGCAGACAATAGATTTACAATTATCCCCTGCTAACATGAATGGGTTAAATCATGAATCATAGTACATAAACAGCACACACGTCCAGTACGCTGCAGTATTAGAGTTACAATTATCCCCTGCTAACATGAATGGGTTAAATCATGAATCATAGTACATAAACAGCACACACGTCCAGTACGCTGCAGTATTAGAGTTACAATTATCCCCTGCTAACATGCATAGGTTAAATCATGATCCATAGTACAACTACATGTTACGTACTATTATGTACTATGGATCATGATTTAACCTATTCATGTTAGCAGGGGATAATTGTAACTCTAATACTGCAGCGTACTGGACGTGTGTGCTGTTTATGTACTATGATTCATGATTTAACCCATTCATGTTAGCAGGGCAGAATTGTGAGTGCCTCCCACAAGCTGAGCACCGAGACGCGATGCAGCAGGACATTCCTAGACTGTACAATTGCATACCTAATTTGAAGTATCGCATGTCATATATGTACACGGTTAAGTTACATATTTCCACTCAATAATGCCTTTTTATTGTACACTGTTCGATGCTTATATTTGGAAATTTCAATAAAAAACTTGATTTAAAAAAAAAAAAAGTGGTGGGTCGGGCCGATCTCAGGAAGGAAGGGTTAGAACCTGTGTCTGATTTTGCTCCTGTCCGTGCCCATTGTGGGGGAAATCGTTATGTTCTCTCATCCAAGTTTCTTTTAAAGAGTTGTCCCTTAGAACACATCTGCTGTAAAATTAATCCCACGTACACGTATGGCACTTCTCTAAGGCGTCATGAGCAGAGTCACTTCTGACGCCCACTTTAATGTTAGAAGTCACTGGTGGCAGCATTGGTTACATGGGACACACTTCTATTCGATGTTGTCGTAAATCCGTAAGACATCCGATTGGTTGTTGATCAACTCCAGAAGCCGGAACAGCTGCTCCTTGTCAGAGTCTGATACCTGTACAGTGATGGTGGGCAAATACTCAGGAGCGGACGAGATCGGCACTATTCCCAGGGAGACAAGCTGCGAGCGGACGTCTCGCAAGGAGGGGACTTCACAGATGAACTGGAAAAAAAAAAAAGTCACATTGAGATGGTAAATGTGATGCTATCAGAACCTTGAAAATGCAAGATCATTTTCTACTGAGGACATGGTGAAGCTGATTTACTAAAAGAGCAGAGATTCACTTAAAAATTTCCAATATTGCAAAATAGGATTTTTGTACTTACCATGATATGCTTTTCTTGGAGTCCATTGAGGAACACAGGACTTAAACATTTGGGTTATACTGCTATCTACAGGTGCATTGGACACTGGCAAAAAATAAAATAAAAATGTAGGCCAGCCAAGGATAACCCCTCCTCCTACCAACATACTTCAGTTTTGTAGCAAATAAGTACCAAGAATGTGAACATAAACAAAGGAAGGAAGGATGGAACTAATGTCCCAAAGTAGACTGTAAGGAAAGTATTCTACAGCCGGTACAAAAATACTGTATTCCTTCTCGTTCATTCTTGCCCAGTCTTAAACCTTTGAGATGTCCAAAAGTCCAACTTGTCTGCACCCCAAAGAGCTATCTTAAGGACCTTATGCCCACAAGCTATTATCAGATAAGGCCAAACTGTCTACCTGATAGAACATGTGAAGCAGAAGACCAGGTGGCAGTCTTGCAAAACTGAGAAAAACAGTTGACTGATGCCTAAAAGCCCAAGAAGCACTCACAGAACAAGTAAAGTGTGCCTTGGCAGGAAAGGCTGGAACCCGATTCTTGAGACCATAGGCTTGGATGATGGTCTGTCCAAACCCCCTCTACATGGTAGAACAAGAAGCTAGTGCACAAAGTTCATATGGGTCGACACAAAGGAAATCCATCTTCTAACAGAAGGCTGAGAAATAGACTGTCACAGCCCAAACCACATTCAGACAATGGAGGGAAATTCTCTTAGAAACTTCTTTATGATAGAAGAAAGTCCTGGGCCTCAATACCACCTTGAGTTTCTTCAAGGGTAAGGCTGACAAGTTCAGACACTCGCCTCGCAGAGGTTATAGCTAAATTAAACACCACTTTTTGGAAGAGAGTATTACAGAGGAATGTCTCTAATGGGTTCAAACAGTGGTTTATGAAACAAAGAAGGAACCAGATTCAGATCCCACAGAGTCACAGGCAGGGGAGCTACATGGGAGACCCCAGGTACAAAGGTCTCAATCAAAAAGAGGCTAATGGTCTAAGAAACAGAATAGATAGGGCATAAAACTGACCCTTGATAATGTCGAGAGCCAAACACTGGTCCAGACCCAGCTGCAGGAAGGAGAGGATCAGTCCCATGGAGAAACTCCTAGGGTGGAAGCCCCAAGACCCACACTAGGTGAAAGATCCCTTCCATGTCTGATGATAGACCTTGTGCGAAGTAGATTTCCTAGCTTTTGACAGGAAACAGACACCCGGGATGTGTTTGTGTTCAGAACCTGGCCTTTGACACCCACGCCATTAAAGCCAGCAACCGTGAGGCAGAATGGCAAATTGGTCATTGGGTCATAGAAATCTGAAAGGAGCGCCTGACAGGAGTCTAACCAGATCAGCGTATTATGACAGCCTGGGCCAATCCGGATAAATGAGAAATCACCGGAGTGCTCTGCATCTTGATGCTGTAATAAAGATAAGGAAGACGTTTTAGGGGAGGAAAGCCCTAGATCAGGGTGCACTGATCTCACGGAGACACCAGAGCATCCACTGCCTCTGCTAAAGGATCCTTGTACCTGGAGAAAAACCTGCCTAGCTTGTTGTTGAACCTGGAGGCCAGGAATTCCATATGCACTGTCCTCCACCTACAACACAGGTATGGGTGTAGAGACCCCTTCCAGGTGCTGCTGGCTGGGGAAATCTGCTGAAGTTCGGCCCAAGACAGGATCCAATCTACCTCTCTTGCTGCAGTGAGACTTCGGGTTCCTCCCTGATGATTAATATATGCCAATGTCGTGGAGTTGTCTGACTAAATCTGGATCTGACGACACTCCAGTAGGAAGGTCCAATGCTGCAATGACAGCCAAATAGCATCAAGTTCAAGGATGTTGTCAGGAGATACCTCAGGAGATGGAACTCTTCTACCCCAGAGCTAAAGAAAAGATGTCACTCCTGCTAGGACACCTAACAAAAATGAAGCATGCTAGTAGTAGGAGCAGTAATCCTCAGTTGGCTTACAGGTTTGGCATTGCCAGTGCACTGAAGGCGGCGGTATAACCCAAAGGTTTACACTCCCTGTGTCAGTCAATGATCCAGAAAGAAGAAGCAAATTCAAGTTTCTTTCATCCGACATGGACTTGGTATTCAAAGTGAACACATCTATAATTTCTACAACAGATCCTCAACTCTCATAGAAAATTAACCCTATTATCCCTGCATTCCTCATTTCCTAAATTACATGAAAATACTTTTCTTCTTCTCTTTGCTGTGTTATTCAGGCCACACCCCCTTCAATAAAATCTATTGGTTGCCAGAGGTCACCTTGTATTATTCTAGAAAGCAGATCAGCAGTGGAAGCTCATGTATAGTCTTCTCATTCTTGCTCTCCTCTCTATTGGTCATAAAGTGTCATGGGTGTCCTCACTGGCCAATAGGGAGATGGGAAAGGGGCAGACTGCAAAGCAATTATGAGAAGTCTGATCACTTTTTACCTAATAGGCACCCTGGATTTTAAAAGGTAGAGGCACATTATAGGATAACTCACTTTTATACATTGCTCTTAGAGATGCTTGCACTAACACCCAACTGGATGACCTGGCATGCGGTTTATCATGCTCATGGTCCTATTGTTTAAATTAAATTGTTTATGGGTGACAGATATTCGCTCCAGGCACTTGAGTACCCCTATTCTTTAAATCCATTTTTCCATCCCGCTGCTCACCTTGTACACATCCTTGTCCTCCTCATCCTGTGATTCTTGTACATCCTCTGCTCCAGCCTGTATGGCAAACTCCAGTGCTTGCTCCATGGACACAGGACTGCCATCTTTGTCACAAGTCTGTACAATTACCACTCCCTTCTTAGTAAAGCAATGCCGGGCTCCATCTGTAGCGGTTCCTCTGCAAGTCACATAAAGTGAAGGCTTAAAACACAAATGTAAACAACACCGACCACTTCGAAGTGGCACTCCAGCTCGAAATTATACTTCCACAATAGCATAGACCAGGGATGTCCAAACAGCGGCCCTCCAGCTGTGGTGGAACTACGAATCCCATGAGGCTTTGCACAGACATGACTCCCGGAGAGAGATGCTTCACGGGATTTGTAGTTTCACCACAGCTGGAGGGCCCGAGTTTGGACATCCTGGCATAGACTGTTGAGGTCTTGCAGTTGTGGGATCATGGGTTCAATGTCCACCTGGGATACTATCAATATGGAGACCTGAGAATATACTTGAAGGTTTACTGCCATCTGATCACACCACCCCTGAAGTGTTTTATGGTTATAGTAAGGATTTTAGACTGCAAGCTCCTCTGGAGCAAGGGCCAGAGTTAACTGTTCTATGCAGTATTCTATGAAACGCATAGTCAAACTGCAAGGCACTGCAACTGCTAATGGATAGTAGGTGCCATGCCCAGGCTCTTGCAGAATGTTCCTCTAGCTCCAAGTCCATACCAAGGTTTGGACCTAAGGTTATGGACACTGCAAGGCACTGCAACTGCTAATGTATAGTAGGTGCCCTGCCCAGGCTCTTGCAGAATGTTCCTCTAGCTCCAAGTCCATACCAAGGTTTGGACCTAAGGTTATGGAGTATGGTGGCAGTGAAGACTTGGAGATTTTCATTCACAGATCCTGTAAATGGATCTGTGAATGGATGACGTGGCTGTGCAGGCAGAAATATGCACAACCCTCCCCCCCCGCAAATTAAAAAAACACACAAAAGACTGTGGGGAGAAGAACCCCACAACTGAGGTAATGGGGAGTGCGGAACGGCACCATGTTCTAACAATAAACATGGTGTTAAAAGGTGGTAAGAGCCAAAAAGTAAATGTACCTTTTCAACATATATCAAGCATTAAAGTGAATCTATTGTTTGTTGCTCATGCAGGGCAAATGAATACATCCACTTTAATACAGTGTTCCCGTCACTCCATTCAGTTAGGGGTTGCATAGCCAGAACTTATATAGGGTTGATGAATCTCCTCATCCTCGACACAGCAAACACTAGAGCTGTCTCCTGAGAGGAAAGGGAGTGAGTCACATGCTCCTCCATACCTGGAAGTACTTGGTTTCTTCTCTGCTCCCGATGGCTATGGGAGAGGGGATAAAAGGGAAGTATGTGCCGCTGGGTGACCTGGCATTAAAGCAAATCTGTTGGGTTCACTTTAATTTATTTGTTTTGGTGAACCAAATACTCTATCAGATTTCAGCCAGTGCTTGTAAGAGTACAACTACAACATGATCACTTCCAGTCATTCGTACACAATTATAGTTGCTGTTCAGTATGCCTCCGCTCACCTACCCGTTTTTGTTCAGTATGACTTTTATTTCTTGAAAAGTACGGTTGGTGCTGTCGGTCAGGAGTTCAATGAGTAGGGAAGCTCCTCCAGGCCCTCTTGCTTGGAACAGAACATAGGAGGTCGGCTTGGACTTATCCTGAAACAGACAGGCAACATAAGTCTATAGTTTGCAGTCAGACCACATGGAGAAGCACTTCATGGAAAGTACGTGGATAGAGAACTGTCCTAAAATTGGTGGAAGAAAAATTCCAGCACAAGGGGCGAAGGGGGCTCTTCACAGTAATATCAGTTAGGGTCCGGAACTCACTGCCACGGGCGGTGATTTCAGCAAAGAATGTGGAATTGTTCAAGAAACTTTTGGACGATTTCTTAAGGGACCGTAATATACAGGGGTACAGGTACTCCTAGAATGAGATCCTAATATGGACTTGATGGACTAATGTCTTTATTCAACCTCAAATACTATGTACTATGTATGAAATGGTGATTAAGAAGATATCAGGTGCTTTGTCAATGAAAGGCAAAGCAACAGGTTCAACTTAATGCAGTCCACCGTAAATGGATATCCTTTCCTTCCTATTGCTCTTCTACCATTCCTGGTGTTTTGCCTGGTAGAAAAAAAGATAAAAACCCAAATAGCTTATAGCAAGGCTCAACAAATCCCAGACACCAGGTCGCCATGGTGACTAGAAATTATGTCCTGCCACCTGGGCTTTTGTCAGCCCCAGGGGTGCAGGATTCCCATCTCCTGACGCCTGAGACATGCTGCAGGCAAGCAGGGCTAAATATAGAGTCTAGAAGCCACAGCTCATTTTGTACTTCCCAGATCACTTATAGCCCACCGGCCTGCCAAAAAAATAAAAATGAATAACTGCATGCCGCTACAGGGGAATCGGAAGGGACACAGACCGCTGCAGCTGGTGCCCAGCTGAGAGAAGAGACCACCTGGCAGCTGCTGGACTCTGCATTTCTCTGCCCCACCGTGCCCTGAGGAGCAGTCCCAAAGGAGAACTTTCTCCTTCAGGCCCCTCCTCTGATGATTGACAGCAGGCAGTGGGCGGGTGCAATAGCCAGCCTGCTATTAGCTGAAATAACCAATAGCACGCTGGCTATTACACCTGCCCCTGCGAACGTGCACATACCAAAGGAAACAAAATAAAAACGACAATTGTGCTACATGTGTCAGGTATCGCCACGTGTGCCAATTAAAACTGTATCTGAAAATTGCAACTGTCGTTGACAATAAAGCTTTGTTTTAACAAAAAAAAAACATTCAAAGCAAATTTGTCAAGCCCTGGGTTATAGTCCCTGTATGCAAGGACTGGAACACACCTTTAATTCCTTTCTGTGACAGGTCCATCTTGTTCCAATACAAATGTGATTTACAAGTAGTAATATGGAAAGAATTCTGGTTCTTTAGTCCTGTAGCAGTCCTAGATTGTCATAGTGATTCACTAGTACTAGGATAGACTCCGTTATGGATATGAGTTTCCCCTTATGCACTGGATTCAGTTTAACCAACTTACAGCTCCTTTGATGGCAGCCTCGATGGAAATCTTGGGCATATTACTCAGCCGGCACTGCTCAACGAGATTGGACAGCTGATGATTCAGGTCAGGGTTAGGGCCTCCTTCTGCAAAGAGCAAAAGTCCATCTTCATCACAAGGATCAACATTAAATGGAAGGCCAGACATTTTTTTCAGCTTTGGATGGAGTGGGGAAGGGGGCATCTAAAGGGTTTTTATTACGGTCTGTTATATATATATATATTTTGTCTTAAAGCATGTGTCACCAACTCCTACCTCTCACAGCCACTTTGATCATCATGGACAGCTTAGCGAACCTGCGCGATCTCTCTGCATCCTTCGGACCTTTGATATGTTTGACTTTGGACCACTTATTATGTCCAGCACAAGCCAAGGAAGATGTATGGATGCCGGATTCCTTATTCAATAAAGCTGAACAACTAAACCTGTCCAGGGCTTCCTGACAGCCCAGCAGGGACCTCCAAAGGTTGCTCCTGTAGGACGAGAACCTCCCAAGAACCATAGCCATGGTGCTGCTAGGGAAACCTGCAGATGAGAAGGGACAGTAAATCAATACAGTGACTTGTTCTGTCATCCATTCATTTTTTTTAGGAAATCCTCAAAAGTGTGACGCAGACACATGCTGCAAATATAAATGCTGCAAATAGCTCCATTAAAGCACTATATTACCAACAAGTATTGGGATGCCTGCCTTTACACAGTGCGCAGAAGTCCCCAACTGTCTGCAGAGTCAATAGCTACAGACCTCCAAACTTCGTGTGGCCTTCAGATTGGCACAACAACAGTGCGTAGAGAGCTTCATGGAATGGGTTTTCATGGCCGAGCAGATGCACCCAAGCCTTACATCACCAAGTGCAATGCAAAGCGTGGGATGCAGCGGTGTAAAGCACGCCGCCACTGGACTCTAGAGAAGTGAAGACGTGTTCTCTGGAGTGACCAATCACGCTTCTCTGTCTGGCAATCCGATGGACGTGTCGGGGTTTGGCGGTTGCCAGGAGAATGGTACTTGCCTGACTGCATTGTGCCAAGTGTAAAGTTTGGTGGAGGGGGATTCAAACAAGGGGCGCCTTTCCTGGTGCAGACAAATTTATTAGGATCAGGATCAGAGGTAAATATAAAACATACTCACAAAATTCATGATTGAGGTATAAAAAGTATAAAAAATAAGTCCATGGACCCAAGAAAAAAAAAAAAAAGTTTCTGATTGCTGTATAGCTGTGATCTAATTAATGTACATCAGTGACCTGATCAATGGACAGGGCTCGAAAATCCACTCGTCTGCTCGTCTCAAAACAAAGCTCTATCTGTCCCCAAAATTTTTTAACATATATTGCAAGGCTATAGTCCGGTCATGCTGACTGGTGAAATTTTTGACTGACTGGTGAGACACCGCCAAATTTTTCAAGCCCTGTCAATGGATATCAGTGATGATGATCACACTCAGTCCCCTCCAGCTTAGGGTTGCCACCCGTCCGGTTTTGACCCATACAGTCCGGTTTTGGTGTGTTGTGTACAGGTGCCCAGCCAGCGGGCACCCGTACACAAGACACTTAGTGCCGACACCGGCACTTTAAATTTTCTGACAGGTGCAGCTGCTGAGGTCCTAGTCAAGCGCGATCTCGAGCAGCCAAATGTGCCTGAAACCCGGGTCTTCCTCTGAGCTGGGGGCAGCCTGTGTCTGTGCCTGCAGCTCAGAGAAAGTGTCAGGTTTCAGGCAGATGTGGCTGTTCGAGATCGCGCTAGACTAGGACCTCGGCAGCCGCACATGCGATCACTCCTCCTCTCGTACCCGAGTGTCGCACAGCCCGCACAAACTACCAGGCCACCTGAAGACATTGCTCTCTCCTTTATATTCTCCCCCTAAAAAAAATTGACACGTAGCGCTAGAGTGTTCGGGTTTCACTTGAAGAAAAGGTGGCAACCCTACTCCAGCTCAGCCTTGCTGTAATATAACACACACATCATGCACTCAGATACATTATAATAAACATATCATGGCTCCTGGAATAAGGAAGATTTGCCCCCACTGACCTCTAATCATCACATTTTACTCTGTCCAGTGTCCTCTCACTGCCTTTCTTCCCAAGTGGCGGTCACAGTGGGGATTGTGTGCACCGCTGCACCATTCCTGCTGGAAACTAGGCGAGTGAAGTTTAGTTCCGCCTGTGCTAATCATTCCGGGGTGCAGAGGGAGGGGTATGAGGAGGGATCCTGCCTGTCCTCCCTCCTCTCCTCCTACATAAGGGGTTGTCAATGTCTGCTATGATCCTCCCTCCAGGGATAATATACTTACTAGTCTGGAGAGGAATGTAGTCTAGTTAACCCTTTCATGCCCTCAGCAAGTTTTACCTTTTGCAATGTATTACAGAACACCTTCCCTTTATATTAGGGAGTTGAAGGGGGTTTAGTGTTCGTAGTACAAATCTGAATGGCGTTTAGTTCAGCAATGTGTGTCATCGGCATGTCATGCTAATAAAATGTTCGTTTTCATCTTTTCTTGCATCTCAGTGCTGTTGACCTCCTGCAGTTCCTTTGCAGCCACTTCCTCTCTACACCCACTCCAGCGATGGATGCATGACATTTCCTTCCGTGTGACAACAGCAAACCGTGCCTGTGTATTATGTGTTGCAATGCCTACTTGCCTTTGTGATAGGGTTGACACTCAAGCGAAACCCGAACACTCTAGCGCGGACATTTTTTGGAAGAATGCGTGTAAATAGCGCCGCCTATTCATATGTAAATATCACAGTTGACACTATTTTCAGTGGGGGGCCAGTAGCCCCTATCTTAATTTTGGTTGCCACTGTCTGTCTTACATCTTGTGTCGGGGTTTCTGCTGCCATGAAACCCGGACCCAGCATTCAAAACTCGGACTGTCAGTAGGGTTGGACAGGTGGCAACCCTACTGTGTGACAGGGTGACAACTAGTGTTGCCACCTGTCCAGGATTCACCCGGGCAGTTCGGGTTTTGAATGGATGGAAGAAAAGGTGGCAACCCTAGTGACAACGCAGAGTACAATTAGGAGGCAGGGACAGAACGTTGTCACCCTATAACAAGAAGTGTCTGAACAAGGGCCTTCATGGTAGGATCACGAGGTGGTAATATTGCAATTATTTTTAATCTCATCAAACCTCTGGGAGTCATCCCTGTGGCTGTCGGAGTCTTGCAACGCCTCATGGCACGTGTAGTTCCACAACAGCTGGATTGCCTAAAGTTAGGCTACCCCCTGCTTTAGGCCATGCCCAAAATCCAGCACAGTTTTCCAGCACCCACCTTTCACCAGGTAGCCCTTCTTACTCTACTCCTCATGTTGTGATGGATGACATACAGCAGGGGTGGGCCCTCCAACTGTTGTGGAACTACAAGTCCCATGAGGCATTGCAAGACTCTAAGAGTGTCACTGTCGCTCTGATGAAGGATCCCTGTGCGGACCGGAAACGTTAGCACCGTATGACAGTATGTGACATTGGGTATTGAATAAGCATATCAATACTTTCAAAACCCTTCAAGTGTTTTGCACGGCGCCATCCGTGTGGTCACCTGGGCACCACATATACCTTGCGGTTTTGAGACCGTGGCGGTGCGAATGGGATTTGGACTTTGTTCTGACAGTTACAGGGATGACTCGCAGAGGCAGATGCATGATGGGATCTGTAGTTAAAGCACAGCTAGGGGGTTGGAGCTGCCCACCTCTGATATATACGGTACAATAAGTATTAGGCCAACTTGTTAGTCGTATTTGTGGGAGGAGCCTTACACATTTCCCCTACTCACCTGTCGGTACGTCCGTGACGCCCCACCCGCCCTTACCCCTTCTGATAACATTTTACTCTCTGAGTATGCCCCCTTATTTTGCATGCTGACCATAGCGACAACAGCACATCTCAGGTCAAGTTTAGGCAGGTTCATCGTCTCAATGTTCAGGTACGTATCAGTGACTACAAGTAAACGTTGTCACCGTAGGACAGGAAGTGTGTTCATGACGGGGTCACCGGGAGAAAATAAAGGGAAAAGAAGCTAGAAAAAAAAGAAAAGAAATGCAGCCGCCACCTCTAAGGACTGGCACCAGTCTTGGCTCTTGGGGGTTACATACACGCCGTGCTATCATGGAGGGTCCGGTTTGGGGTGAGGACAGGTATCACCCTCGGTGGGGTGATCTGGAAGTATATAAGCCGTGTGCATACATCCTGTGGACTCCATTATCCCAGCAGGCTATTATACAGCGGTGTGGTGTCACTGTGTACACAGCTCATGTGCTGCAGGCTGTTTGTGTGTACACTCCGTCTCCACAGCAGCCAACGACCAAGCCTCAGAGATCTGCCTGCCGTGTCCCCGGGGATTCATTCCACCTCCATCATTATCCCTGGACACTGCTACTATGTCCCAGCACTGGCCAATGGACCCCAATCTATACGCCGCTCCTTCATGGGACAGGAACTACCCCGGAGTCCATATCATACCGTCTACGGTGAGTGCACCCATAATGGCTCATTTCAGCTCACAAAGCACGATGGGCAAGGGGCTAAGGCAGTCAATCACAATCGCAGACTCCATTGAGATTTCCTTTCATTTCTTCTCCTGGTAAAGGTGTTGTCACCATGACAGGAAGTGAGGAGTAATCTGCCTAGGGGACACATTGCTTTTTCGTGGCCTTTTGTACACATTATTACATTGGACTTTCTTCCCTGTTTCAGACGTTCAGCACGTCACGGCTTTCATCTTTCCAGCTTCATTTATAGTAAACCTTCCATGACAGAAGTATGGTGACCTGACCTGGAACAAGCAGGCACGTCAGGAAGTCAGAGAAAAGTATGCAGAACTGTTGTGAGTTGTCAGGGTTTATAGAACGCCGGCCGTTGGCAATGGCAGCCTCTATGTTTCTCCCGGGAAAGGTTTATTTTAAAGAGGAATTATAGGCAAAAGAAAAGAAAAATAGCATTTACAAAGCGCCGTGTCCTTGTCTAGCTCTCCTGTAACATACTTATATTACCTGTTCATCCTGCCAGTAGATCTGTTATTTGTCCACTTCCTGTTACAGGGTGACAACGTTGTGTGTTCTGCAGAGAAATCACATGGCAGGGTAGTCATAGATGAACATGTAGATTTCAATGGACTATTAGATTGCACAGCATGTATGTATGTATGTATGTATGTATGTATGTGAGATGGGATCTTAGATTGTATGTATGGGAGATGGGACCCTAGATTATATGTATTTCATATATAGATTGTATGTATGTATATGAGATGGGACCATAGATTGTATGTATGGATGTATGTATATGAGATGGGAACATAGATTGTATGTATGTGAGATGGGACAATGGATTGTATGTATGTATGTATGTATGTATGTATGTATGTATGTATGTATGTATGTATGTATGTATGTATGTATGTATGTATGTATGTATGTATGTATATGAGATGGGACCATAGATTGTATGTATGGATGTATGTATATGAGATGGGAACATAGATTGTATGTATGTGAGATGGGACAATGGATTGTATGTATGTATGTATGTGATATATGGACCATAGATTGTGTGTATGTATGTATGCATGTGAGATGGGACCATAGATTGTATGTATTTTAGATGGGACCATAGATTGTATGTGTGTATGTGATATATGGACCATAGATTGTGTGTATGTATGTATGTGAGATGGGAGCATAGGTTGTATGTATGTGATATATGGACTATAGATTGTATGTATGTATGTATGTATGTATGTATGTATGTATGTATGTATATGAGATGGGACCATAGATTGTATGTATGTATATTTGTATGTATGCATGTAATATATGGACCATAGATTGTGTGTATGTATGTATGTATGTATGTATATGAGATGGGAACATAGAATGTATGTATGTATGTATGTGATACATGGACCATAGATTGTATGTATGTATATGAGATGGGACCTTAGATTGTATGTATGTAATATATAGACCATAGATTGTATGTATATGAGATGTAGGGTTGCCACCTGTCCAGGATTCACGCGGACAGTCCAGTTTTTGAGTCCTGTGTCCAGGTTTCAGGTCAGCTGACACCCGGACACAAGACACTAAGTGCCCATACCGGAACTTTAAATTTTTTGCCAGGAGATTTTTGTGCAGCTGCCACAGGTCCTGCGCTTGCTGGGGACCTCGGCAGCCTTCCTGTAAACCCCGGGCACCTGTAAACATCTCCTCCGTCTCCTTGACACCATGCGGCCCTTTGTGAGACACCACACAGCCCGCACAGCACTCCGGAAAGTTTGCATAGCCCACCTGAGACCCCAAACAGCCACCTGAAAGCCTGGATTGCCCACCTGTAAATCCGCATAGCCCACCTGTGAGTCCGCATAGCCCACCTGTGAGTCCGCATAGCCCACCTGAGTGTTTGTGTTTCACTTGAAGAAAAGGTGGCAACCCTAAGGAGATGGGATCATAGATTGTAAGCTCCTTGAGGACAGGGACTGATGTGAATGTGCAACTATGTAAAGCACTGTGTAAATTGTCAGCACTATGTAAATGTCAATAATAATGAAATATAACAACAAATAATAACAGCTCTCTCTCTCTCTATCTATGTATCTTGTCTTTTTGAAAGGCTCCTCAACAGCAAATTATATTCCAGCAGCTTTCCACAGACTTCATCCCTCCCGTCTCCTATCCAATCCGACAAGGCAACGCCAAAGAAGGTGAGACGTACCCTACAATGTCATAGTCAGTGTAATATGGGGTACAATGCGGCCTGTTCACCTGCTTTCTGCAATCAGTGCAGCGTTGCCCCTTTGCGACCCATCAGACTGAAGCTGCAAGTGCAGCCCCAGCCGCCCTCCGGGGATCAGATCCTTACACAGAGCCAAGCTGGACCAATGTATCCAGAACAGACCATTCCTCGGGTTCAGCTTTATCATGGTGGCCTAACATGGCGACAACCCAGAGCCACGGGCTAAATAGATAAATTACATTTATATATACAGGGTGTGTGTGTGTGTGTGTCTATGTGTCTGTTTGTGTGTATCTCTGTGTGTGTGTGTGTCTGTGTGTGTCTGTGTATCTCTGTGTCTGTGTGTGTGTGTATCTCTGTGTCTGTGTGTGTGTGTGTGTATCTCTGTGTCTGTGTGTGTATCTCTGCCTGTGTGTGTGTGTCTGTGTTTCTTTCTATTATTGTTTTTGATTGTCATGATTTGTGATATTTGCGTCCTAAGTCGTCCTTGTGTATAACATTTGATGACCCTCTACTACTATAACACAGATATGTCCTTGTATTTCTAGATTTGATTGATCTGATGATGATACAGAACGCTCAGATGCATCAAGTTATCATGAGCAATATGACAATGTCGGCTCTGTCCAGCTTTGGCTATGGGGCAGCACAGCCTCCCCCAGTGGTAGGTGACAAAACTGCATGTGTAATGTTCAGCAAGCCAGCCAATCAGATTTCATCATTTCAGAGCTGTCAGCACAATGGAGATGGCTGCTGATTGTTGATGGTTAATGCGGTGAGCACCGTGCTCGTTGTGTTACTGAACAAGCGGCGGAATAGATCCAGGCTCCATGTACAGTCAGTAACATGTTATGTGTATGTAACTGGCAATTATACCCGGCTCCATGTACAGTCAGTAGCATGTTATGTGTATGTAACTGGCAATGATGTCCAGCTCCATGTACAGTCAGTAGCATGTTATGTGTATGTAACTGGCAATTATGCCCGGCTCCATGTACAGTCAGTAGCATGTTATGTGTATGTAACTGGCAATGATGTCCAGCTCCATATACAGTCAGTAGCATGTTATGTGTATGTAACTGGCAATTATGCCCGGCTCCATGTACAGTCAGTAGCATGTTATGTGTATGTAACTGGCAATTATGCCCGGCTCCATGTACAGTCAGTAGCATGTAATGTGTATGTAACTGGCAATGATGTCCAGCTCCATGTACAGTCAGTAGCATGTTATGTGTATGTAACTGGCAATTATGCCCGGCTCCATGTACAGTCAGTAGCATGTAATGTGTATGTAACTGGCAATGATGTCCAGCTCCATGTACAGTCAGTAGCATGTTATGTGTATGTAACTGGCAATTTTGCCTGGCTCCATGTACAGTCAGTAGCATGTTATGTGTATGTAACTGGCAATTTTGCCTGGCTCCATGTACAGTCAGCAGCATGTTATGTGTATGTAACTGGCAATTATGCCCGGCTCCATGTACAGTCAGGGTATATAACTGGTATGAATATGTAGTGAGCGTGTCCTGCAGCTCTCATCATGTGTTTTCTGTATTCAGCCAAGCGTGGTGCCAGTACAAGTGGAGGAGGAGGAGCCCATCGTGTATCATCACCATTATGAAGCCTTCCCAGCAAATTATATGACATACCCAGCTTACCCTACAGTGCCAGCGCCAGCGCCCCAACATGAGCCAACCATCAGACATCTCAATATGGAGACGCAGCAGGCTTCCACGATACGTAACGTAGACCAGTAAGACATGCCTGGGTACCTGTGTGTGCGTGTGTGACATTGCATACACCATGGCGGTCTTTCCTGAACATTTCATTGTGATCAGGGTGTCACAGTGAGTACTCGGGATCTACCAGCTGCACGGCACCCATAACACAGAATGCAGGATGAACAAACAGTGTGTTTAAAGTGAACTTGTAGATATAAAATATAGCAGAGGTGTGGCAACTCTGGCACGCCAGCTGTCGTGGAAATACAAGGCCCGTGAGGCATTGCAAGACTGACAGTTAAACACACAACTCACAGAGGCAGAGGCATGCTGGGATTTGTAAACTAAGAACACAAAGCGCACAGCTCACCCCTATAATGCGTCCCCGCAATCTACACTCAGTGCACGGATGACTCTCTTCTGGAGTGATGGGCTCAAAAACCGTAGGACCGGCACACAATGATCTCCCAAAGAAATTCAAACTTTATTCCACATGCATCTGTACAAAGAACCACTGACGCGTTCCTGCCTTATTCGGCCTTGGTCATAGCGGTTGGGATTTGTAGTTAAAGCACAGCTGGAGGACCGGAGTTGCCCACCCCGGGTATAGCAGCAGGTTCAGTTAACTTCTAGCTCCGCCTCTGACTTTTCTACAGCAGCTTATACTCACCTTCTCTTCACTTAGCAGCTGAGCTTTTATATATATATATCAGTGGTGTCACAAGGAGGGTGCAGCTCGCACGGGGGTGACACCATTGGAGGGGTGACACCAAAATGACTGACAGTAGTTAATTGACTGATAGTAATTTTGGTGTCATCACCTCTAAAAAGTCCGGCACTCAGTCATGGACCAAGAGTCTGACAGTGTCAGGAGAGAAGAGGAGACCCGGCGGCATACCTCATCCCGCCGGTTGAACGTCCCCTCCTCTCTCTGCCTATCTCTCTGCACATGCGCAATGACGCAATCACACGCATTCGCGATGACGTCCTGGCGGGGTGTCACCCAGTCTCCGCTCCGGGTGACACCAGGCCTCGGGACGCCCCTGATATATATGTATTACTTTATGGTTTGTTGTTGGGGACAGACTTTGTGGGTGGCATCATGGCCAGAGCACAACGATAAGGCTCATCAGATGGTTTTCTGGATTACTCCTGCGGCCGTAGTTCATAGCAGTGGCAGTGAGCCATAAATGCATATGACCACGCATAAGACTTCCACCAATATGACTGCTAATAGATCTCTGTACAATTCCACAGGCGGCCTGTACCCCCACCTCCTCCTCTGAGTGCCACCGGAACAGTTGGTGCTGATGTCCCTCCAGCTACAGGTAATTTTTTTTTATTTTTGATAAATAACATTAAAGGGTTTTCTGCTTTGGATTTTTCCCATCACTACAATAGCTTGAAAATTCAAAAATGAAGTCGTTTTTTTGTAGGATTCAGGTTTCCATGTCATTTTGTAATGCATTCGCACAAAGTATAGCTGAGCAAACGACGTTCGCATCACCTACTGCCACTAGATGGAGCCGAGGAGCGTGCGAACGTCGTTCGCACAGCTATACACTGGGTGAAGGTGTTATAAATCAGCCCCTGTATAAGCACTTTCCTTTTATTGATGTGTCTCTCATATGCTGGTAGAAGAATAGCTTGGGCCTGGCATAGTCCAGACACCTGACTCCACCTGGTTCTGTGATCTGGCGTATTCGGCTTTCCCCCGGAAGGGTGGTTACATCCCCCTTGCTTAGGCTCCACAGGAAGTTAAGCATGTCAGCTAACTTTTTGTCGCTCCACAGGTTTATTTTTCCAGTTTAATGTGGCATTTAATGAAGGGGAAGGGGCCCTCACTACATAAGCAAGCCTCGCTGTTTTAGTAAAAGTTCCCCTTTAAAAGGTAATATATATTGTAGCCTGTTTACATAACCAGATAGCTGAAGCTCAGATTACACACACTCTACACACACAAAATCTTCCTTTTAAACAGATCCGTGACCTTCTATGATCCTTGAGTGCTTATATTACATATTACAGTAAGTCACATTTACCATGGCTTCTTGTCTTTTCAGAGTACTACGACCTGACTGAAGCCAGAATATGACCGAGTCTCAGCCGGCCTTCAACATACACAACACAATTTCCCTAAGGAAATCTTCCACCAAGCTTCTGTGGACGTGTGTGAGATGCCTGAGATGGAAGCTGCCATTATATGTTGTTAAGTTATAGATGAGGTTGTGAAGGTCCATCTGAGATCACTGCTTAGGACAGGGGATGGCAGCTTCTATCTGAGGTTTCTCCAACAGATGTACTGTATGCTTTGTGACAGATCGGGGGGATTTTCATGTATTTGTTCCCCTCTAAAGCTGAGCTCCTATCCCCTCTGCCTCCCGAGCCTCTCTGTTGGACCTTTAATATAACAGATGGCCCCTGCCCCCTCTTCCTTTCTATTGGACCTTTAATATAATAGGTAGCCCCTGCCCCCTCTGCCTCCCGAGCCTCTCTATTGCCCCTATAATATAACAGATGGCCCCTGCCCCCTCTGCCTCTCTACTGGAACTTTAATATAATAGGTAGCCCCTGCCCCCTCTGCCTAGCGAGCCTCTCGGTTGGACATTTAATATAACAGGTGGCCCCTGCTCCTTCTGCCTTTCTACTGGACCTTTAATATAATAGGTAGCCCCTGCACCCTCTGCCTCCCGAGCCTCTCTGTTGGACCTTTATTATAATAGGTAGCCCCTGCCCCCTCTGCCTCCCTAGCCTCTCTGTTGGACCTTTAATATAACAGGTGGCCCCTGCCCCTTCTGCCTTTCTATTGGACCTTTAATAGGTAGCCCTTGTCCCCTCTGCCTCCCAAGCCTTTTTGTTGGACCTTTAATATAATAGGTAGCCCCTGCACCCTCTGCCTCCCGAGCCTCTCTGTTCGACCTTTAATGTAATAGGTAGCCTCCGTCCCCTCTGCCTCCAGAGCCTCTCTGTTGGACCTTTAATATAACAGATGGCCCTCTGCCCCTCTGCCTCTCTACTGGACCTTTAATATGTAGCCCTTGTCCCCTCTGCCTCCCAAGCCTTTTTGTTGGACCTTTAATATAATAGGTAGCCCCTGCACCCTCTGCCTCCCGAGCCTCTCTGTTCGACCTTTAATGTAATAGGTAGCCTCCGTCCCCTCTGCCTCCAGAGCCTCTCTGTTGGACCTTTAATATAACAGATGGCCCCTGCCCCCTCTGCCTCTCTACTGGACCTTTAATATGATAGGTAGCCCCTGCCCCCTCTGCCTCCCAAGCCTCTCTATTGCACCTTTAATATAATAGGTAGCCCCTGCCCCCTCTGCCTCCCAAGCCTCTCTGTTGGACCTTTTAATGTAATAGGTAGCCCCTGCACCCTCTGCCTCCCGAGCCTCTCTATTGCACCTTTAATATAATAGGTAGCCCCTGCCCCCTCTGCCTCTCTACTGGACCTTTAATATGATAGGTAGCCCCTGCCCCCTCTGCCTCCCAAGCCTCTCTATTGCACCTTTAATATAATAGGTAGCCCCTGCCCCCTCTGCCTAGCGAGCCTCTCGGTTGGACATTTAATTTAACAGGTGGCCCCTGCCCCTTCTGCTTTTCTACTGGACCTTTAATATAATAGGTAGCCCCTGCCCCCTCTGCCTCCCGAGCCTCTCTGTTGGACCTTTAATGTAATAGGTAGCCCGTGTCCCTTGATTCTTCTTAGTTTGGTCTCTCATACATGTGGAAATACCCTTCCCCAGAAAATCCTAATTGTATGTTTAGTGTTTCCTTTAGATGTTTGTAAATAGAAGAGTTGTTGTAGATCATCATATATTTTATGACAGTTCCCTGTTATATATCATTGGACGTCATTTCCTGTTATCTGTGTAAATGTACAAAACACAATGCTTGTGAAAGATAATATTTAAAATGATGTAAGCTGGAATTGTCTGTTATGTTTTTCGGGACCAGTACTATCCATTCATTCACTAGAGGCCAGTGACATCACTGAGAATGTATCCTATCCAATCACTAGAGACTGGTGACATCACTGAGAATGTATCCTATCCAATCACTAGAGACTGGTGACATCACTGAGAATGTATCCTATCCAATCACTAGAGACCGGTGACATCACTGAGAATGTATCCTATCCATTCACTAGAGACCGGTGACATCACTGAGAATGTATCCTATCCATTCACTAGAGACCGGTGACATCACTGAGAATGTATCCTATCCATTCACTAGGGACCGGTGACATCACTGACAATGTATCCTATTCATTCACTAGAGACCGGTGACATCACTGACAATGTATCCTATCCATTCACTAGCAACTGGTGACATCACTGACAATGTATCCTATCCATTCACTAGAGACCAGTGACATCACTGAGAATGTATCCTATCCATTCACTAGAGACCAGTGACATCACTGAGAATGTATCCTATCCATTCACTAGAGACCAGTGACATCACTGAGAATGTATCCTATCCATTCACTAGAGACCAGTGACATCACTGAGAATGTATCCTATCGATTCACTAGAGACCAGTGAGATCACTAAAAATGTATCCTATCCAATCACTAGAGACCGGTGACATCACTGAGAATGTATCCTATCCAATCACTAGAGACCGGTGACATCACTGAGAATGTATCCTATCCATTCACTAGAGACCGGTGACATCACTGAGAATGTATCCTATCCATTCACTAGGGACCGGTGACATCACTGACAATGTATCCTATTCATTCACTAGAGACCGGTGACATCACTGACAATGTATCCTATCCATTCACTAGCAACTGGTGACATCACTGAGAATGTATCCTATCCATTCACTAGAGACCAGTGACATCACTGAGAATGTATCCTATCCATTCACTAGAGACCAGTGACATCACTGAGAATGTATCCTATCCATTCACTAGCGATCGGTGACATCACTGAGAATGTATCCTATCCATTCACTAGAGACCAGTGACATCACTGAGAATGTATCCTATCCATTCACTAGAGACCAGTGACATCACTGAGAATGTATCCTATCCATTCACTAGAGACCAGTGACATCACTGACAATGTATCCTATCCATTTCACGGAGACCTCACCCAAATAACTTAGACATAAGAGCTAAAATAATCCAACCGTTTGATTACACAACGTATCAAGCACAGTCAGCCTTGCTCTGTGTCTTTGTCTGGGACACGGAACACTCGGTGACATGTATGGGCACGTCTCGGGGACATTCAAGTGTTTTTATAGCCATAAGGAAATCTTTTGTTTTCATACACGGTAATCCCAAACAATCGTTACCCAGAGGAGATGAAGTATTCTATTTCTCTGTACACATTTACTATTACACCATGTATAGTGGAAGACATAAACGCCTCAATTTTATTTTCCGTTGGGTTGCCAATGGATTACTGTGCCGAGGAATGATTCATATATATATAGGCAGACACCACTTTAGGGGTAGCACCAGCTAGTTAACAGCATGAAGGGGGCTGTAAATTTATAGCAGGTCTCTCACGCGGTGCATGGTGACATGCTGCGGTGAGTTGTGACGCCATGCGGTACGCGGTGACGCTCGCCGGTACGTGGTGACGCTCTGCGCATAGACAACAATTGTCCCCCTGGTACATTATGTGAATGAACCCCGAGGGGGAAGGAACACAGCAGTGGGCAGAGTTTACTAAGCCTGGAGCAGCTGAGCACAACCACCAATCAGCTTCCACCTACAGCTGAGAAGAAAAAGAAAGCTGGAAGCTGATTGACCGCCGCGCTCAGCTGATCAAATAACTTCCCCTCATTAAAAGAAACATTGTTACCGACAGGAATAGAATGTTTATATTCACACGTGTGAATGTTTCTACACAGAGGGAAGTGGGGACTTCAGGGGATATTGGAAGGAAATGTCCGCACACCATTGTTCTGGAAGGATCACGTTTTATTTTTCTGTCCCCTGTTGGAGATTTCCCTCTACATCCTGTCCCAGAGACAACAGGAAGTGATCAAAAATGCCTTCTGACCAGAACAGGTGTCTGCTGGCAAATATTCACCACCCCACTTCCTGTTCTGGTGACAACTGAAATATGTTGAATCGTTTTCTGTAGTCACACGGACAAGCGGTGTGACTCTACCGTCCTCGCTCCTCCCATCTGGACTGTACATATATACAGGTGAAACTCGAATAATTAGAATATCGTGAAAAAGTTAATTTATTTCACTAATGCAACTTAAAAGGTGAAACTAATATACGAGATAGACTCATTACATGCAAACAAGATAGTTCAAGCCGTGATTTGTCATAATTGTGATGAGAGAAGCCTCCACGAGGACGAGCTGTGTCAGCTGCCTGGCGCCTTTATTGCCATGGCACCCCGTGTGGACGCACAGCTCGCACACCCCCTAAGGCCGGCCCTGAAAGTACCACAACGCTGAACACTGAAAAATGGCCTGGCCAGGAAGGGGGATGTAAACACGGCGGTCAGCAAGTGGTTAAAGGAGAACTATGAGGTGAGTGATTTTCACTCAGCCTCATAGTTGGAGCCGATCTGTGACAATGAGACTATCACAGGTCGGCTCAATAGAGCAGGAAGTGAGCGAACACATACCGTCGCTCGCTCACTTCTCGATCCTGTCCCGGCAGAGCCGTGACTGTCACTCAAGGCTCCCTGCAGGGATTCCCCGATCCTCCAGCGCTGACTGGCGGAACGGACGCGGGAGGGGGCGTGTACAGCTGGCTCTGCCTCTAGATAGTAATAAGTCAGAGGATAGTAATGTCAGGATCCGACCCAGCTGCGGTGTCTCAGTATACCGCAAGCTACACTGAGCTTAGGGTGACGGGAGGAGCTAGTTTATGTCCTCCCGTTACCCTTAGGAGAACTATGGGGAAAAGCCCTGACCCCATAGTTCATCTATTTGTCATCTATAAATATTCTATTTCTCTCTATATCGATCTTTCCATTATCTATATTATCTATCATTTTTCAATCTGCTATCTTGTATCAATATCGAATATTTAATTTATATTCACCTATTAATTTGTATCAATATTCAGCACACACACAGTCAGAGGATATTATCACCATCGCAAATAAAATTAAGCATAATAAACGTTACAAATAATCATAACGAG